ACAGGGTTTATCACGTCTTTTTTCTCCGTTAAAACGGGGACGGTGGTTATTAAAACGATCGTTTTAAACTAAGTTAACGTTAAACGTAACGTTAACTTCCGGTTAAGTGTAACTAATAATAATAAGTAATACGACTTATTAGTTTATTTATATAATATTAAAAAAAAGAGAGATAATACTTAATAAAAGAGTATACGTTTAATACTATATAGTAACGACTAAAATTATCCTATTTTAATAGTCGGGTAATAATATATCGTAAAGTGACTCACCGATAAATAATTAAAGTTTATAATATAACTAATTATATAACGTATTTATAACGGTCTTATTATTTTAATAGTTTATAAGACGGTTATACCGTATTATAAGTATAACTTTAAGTTTAAATACTTTTACGGATTAAAAATTATTAAGAGTGACTATATTACGTTATAATTATTATATAGTATTAGTAGGTTTAATACGGAACTTATTTTTAAGGAGGGCTTTTTAATAAAGTAAGTTAATAGTTATTTAATACTTTATTTATATTAATAAACTTTAATACTATTTACGTATTTTACCGTCGAGACGAGTTTATAAGTCTTTAACGATAATTATATTAATACGGTTAAAAGGATCGCGTATTTTTTAACTCTTTATATTTTAAAGAAAGTTATTTATAAAACCGGTCGTATTTACGTTGTTTTAAAAAACGGTGGTATAATTAAAAGTAAGGATAAAAAACGGGATAGTTTTAATATTTTACTTATTATTAATACGAATACTTATATCCTTTTACTTATTATATCCTTTATACGGTTAATCGTAACGGTTTATTTAGTTTATTCTTTAAATAAAGAGTAATATTACTTAACCTTAAAGTCCTCCGTATAACGTTAAGTAAAAAAGATCGTTTTTTATATTAACGTCGGAAGTTATTAAACCTTCGTAAAACGGTGACCGTCGGATACCGTAGTTTAGGTTTTATTTAAATAAAAGTGTGTTAAAGTCCGTAAAAGTTTAGTAATTCGTTCGTATTAGTAACCCGTCGTTTTATTTCGAGATACGTAAGTTTATATCTTCGTATTTCGTTTTTAACTAACGTTGTACGGTGAGTGGTTAATAGTATAATAATATATTATAAGTGTAACGTTTAAAGACGGTTTAGTCGGTTTTAAAGTCTTTATTAAGTTAAGTTTTTAAGATTCGAACGATAATTATTATTATTAAAGAGTTTATTTTTTTTTATATAAAAACCCCGTTATTTAATTTAAAAAAACGGATATTATTAATAAACTTATTAACGTTAAAAGAGTAAATAATAAAGTTAAAAAAACTATTACCTTATAAATTATTATAGTTATTAAAGTAGGTTAATATTTCGTAATAAAAGTTAAAGGTTAAAAATTAACGAATTAATTTTAAAAACGATTTTTTATTATACGTATAAAACCTTTAAAAGGTAACCATTATTATATACGTTCGTTTAAAAGTAAGTTCGACGTATATTTAATTTCCGAAATAATTATAAGGTTTATTAAGTCGGTTAACTTTATCTTTTTATACCTTTTTAAAGTCTTAACGGTACTTATAATTAAAAGTACCGTAAAAAAATTATCGTCTTTATTTTTATTATTAAATAACTAGTTTATAATAATCGTAATAAAAGTTAAAAGTTACGGAATATTTTTATAAAAAGTAGTATTATTTTATAATATAATTATAATAGTTTCGTTAATTAACAGTTATTAAAGTTAAAAAGTTAATTAACGGTAAAAGATACTATCGTCCTTCGTATTCTCGTCGTTCGTTACGGTCGGTACCGAATACTTTATATTAATAATAAAGTACCGGTTTATAAACTCGTTAAAAGTCTCGAATACGTTTAAAACGTTTTAAAAACGGTTCGATAATAACTCGTCGTTTTTAAATCTTATTATAGTATTAATTAAGTTATTTTTTAAAACGTCGTTGTTACTTTAAAGGTTATACCGAGTACTTTTTACGGATTATTTCGTTATATTTAAAGTTATTTACTACTTTTTTCGTATTACGAAACCGTAAAACGGTAAATAAAGGTTTTATTAACGGAAAAAATTAACGAGAGTTTAGTCGTTTATAAAAGTTTATCGTAAAATACGTCGGTAAAAGTATACTTAACGTTTTCTTTATACTTTAATAAAAAGTTACGGATTATTTATCGTATTCCGAATAAAAGAGTTTTTACGTAACCTTCGAGTAAACTTAATAATCGGGGTTACTTAAAAATAAAAAGTTATTATTAAATATTACACTTAAACGTAATACGTTACTAACTTCGAAATATTAAGTAACGGAATAAAAAGTAAAAAACGTAATACGTTACTAGTTTCGAGATATTAAGTAACGGAATAAAAAGTAAGGTCTTATATATATTACGATTTAAAATACCTTATAATAGTATAAGTCTTAAATAATAGTATAATATAATATATAATAAATAATTATTAATTCTATAAACTATTTATATAAACTTAAGGTCGGAGAAAAGGTTTAATATAACCGTTATATAGTTTAGTTAAGTGGTACGTAACTTAGTGTAATACTAGACTCTCGTAAAGGGAGTTTGTATATAATAATAAACTTTATAAACTTTATTAAATTAAATATTTAATAATACTATAGTTTTATAAAAAATAGTTAAAAACGTTATAAAAGTCCGTAATACGGTATAAGTCTTATAAAATAAAGTAACCGAGATTTAAAATATTTTAAATAATTATTAAAGTATACTATTAACCACTTTAACTTAAATAATAGTATTTATAAACCTATTAACGTAATATTTAACGAACTAGTTTAATAATCGGTTTATATAATATATAACCGTTTTTTTAAACCGTTTAATATACTTTTAATCTCGGTAAAACCTTTAAAACACTACTCGTTCGTTTTTATTAATATACTTTTAAGTTTAAACCGTTATTACACTTATTTAATCTTACCCTTTTTTACGTTTCGGTTAAACCGGACCGTTTACGACGACGTTATTACGGTGTCGTATTATTATACCGACCTTTATACTTTAAAACTTAACGTTTATAAAAATAAATATTAATAATATTTAAACCGTATTTTTATTTATTCTTTCCGTTTATTTCCTTTACTTTTTCTTTTAATTTTTTTTAACGAACTTATTATAAGTTACCGTCTTTTTATACGTTATTACCGTTTATTTTTTATAAAGTTTTTTATTTATTAATAATATATTACGGTATTTACCGGTAAAGAACGAAAATATTATTTTTCACCACCGTTCGGTAAATATTACACGTAAACTCCCTTTATAAAAGTCTAGTATTATATTAAGTTACGTACCGTTTAACTAAACTATATAACGGTTATATTAAACCTTTTCTCCGACCTTAAATTTATATAAATAGTTTATAAAATCAATAATTATTTATTATATATTATATTATACTATTATTTAAGACCTACACTATCGTACGGTATTTTAAATCGTAATATATATAAGACCTTAATTCTTATTTATTATAAGTGATTATAAGATAGGTCTTCACAATAAATTAGTTAATGAAAAGCATTGGTTTCGAGGGCGAAGGTAGGTGTGTATTATAACAGAGACTAATTCTTACCCCTTCTTCCTAAAGGGAAGAAGGGAGTCCTCTTATTTAAGGAGAAAGGGCTTTTCACTAGCGTGGCGCTAGCGTGTGGCTGGGGACCAGCCACCCCGCGCCCTATTATGTAAGCCTAGTCACCTGATTCGTGGCTTTCGGCCACGAATCGGTTATGATATTGTTCCGTTACTTAACATCTCGAAGCCAGTAACGTACTACGTATTAGTCCGTAACAGTAAGTTTCACGGCTCTCGAGTAAACATTCCAGTAATAGCCACCGTTGTTTCCGTCGCCCGTCGGCCTGGGTTACATGGTTGGTAAGTTGAGTGACAAGAGGTTGGCCAGTTAGGAAGACTTAAAGAACTTTGAGTGTTTGGCCGTGGAGGGTTACGCGCTCGACGTTTTGTCGTGTTTTCTCGAGTTTGTCTATAACGGCGTGACGACGAGCCCGAGTGTCGATACGTCGAATATCGATACGTTAAACGTCGTCTCGTTTAATAACTATCCTTTTAACGTTGTCGCGACCGAATCCGACGAGACAGTAAACGAGGTAGAGTCGGATTAAGACGAGACCCTCCCTTCTTTAAAAAGTCCTATTTAAAGGACGGGTTTAAACCCGTCTACGTCCGAAGGACGGTAACAATAAAAAACTGTTACGCATAAGCGTATATGTCATGAACGATTCGTGGCCTATGGCCACGAATCACGTGACTGGGCTTACATAACAAGACGCGGTATGGCTCGTCCCTAGCCACACGCTAGCGCCACGTTAACGAAAAGCCTTTCTCCTTAAATAAAAGGGCTCCCTTCTTCCCTTTAGAAAGGACTCCCTTTTTCCCTTTAAAGAAGGGGTAAGAATTAGTCTCTGTTATAATACACAACCTACCTTCGCCCTTAAAACCAGTACTTTTCATCAACTAATCTATTATAAAGACCTATCCCACAACCATCCATAACAGTATACGTCACTGGCTTCGTGATACCAGGTAACGGAACAAGAAAGAGGGTATCACGATTCAAGATACTGTACTGTGGTTGTAGGTCCTGAATAATAGTATGATAATATATGTGATGAATGATTGTTGATTCTGTAAACTATCTATATGAACTTAAGGTCGGAGGAAAGGTCTAATATAGCCGTCACATGGCTTAGCTAAGCGACACGTGACTTGGCGTGATGCCAGACTCCCGTAAAGGGCTACTGGGAGCCCCTCTACCTTTATTAACTGTGATTACGTACTTTGGCCTACAAATCTTTTAGGCCTATCTGTCCCCTTACCGTCTTACGAATACGACCCTTATGCATCCAACAGCCTTTGACCAAAAGCGGTCTTTCGACCAAGCATCCCGCGGCTGGCGTGCCTGTCGCTCAATATCCCTCACCGTCATGCCATAATGGCATTCTCTTCGTTCTCAATCTGTTGGGTGCTTCCCCTCTCCGCTCGCCTCCGCCTCGGCCGCGCATACTTCAAGAGTCTTGTGCCCAATGTCGTCCAGGTCAGCGCGCATCGCATCATCAAAGGCCCTTGCTACCCATGCGAGCTAGAGGCGCTCTTGTTCGTGCGGAAGCACACTACGATACCCGTGCCCAGAGTCTTCCGCACGTATCCCGCGTCTGACGGGCGAATCTACATTGAGATGGAGTTTGTTAAGGGCGTTAGTCTGGCCGAGCTATGGCTTAAGACGGGCCTGACAGACGACGCCAAGAAGGCTATTATAGCCGGCCTACACGACGCGGTTACTCAGCTCCGTAACCTCCCTCCACCAACACCGCAGGACATTGTTGCATCGACGTCCACAAAGGAGGGCTTGTCGGATGGCCGTATCGGACCAGAGACCTTCGGACCGTTTACAAGCCACGACGCATTCCACACGTTTTTACGCGGCGGTATTCCTATCGAGTCCACACAAAAAACCTACGGGGATACTGTGTTCCAAGTACACACAAGACGCTATAAAACACACTTTACACACGCAGACCTCGTCCCACGCAATATTATTATCAGTAATGAGCGTATTGCCGCTATTGTGGACTGGGGGTTTGCCGGCTGGTATCCCGAGTACTGGGAATACACCAAGATCTTCTTTGATGCTTTCGTACGTTTGGATTGGTACACGGCCGTGAAGGAAGCCATACCACAGTACGATACAGAGCTGGCGGCAGAGCGGGCTCTGTGGCAGCAGTATGACGAGCCTGGTGTTTTGCGTTGGTAATCTATCGCCGGCAGAGTAGGAGATCTTTGGATAGGGGCTTTACCTTGACATTTCCCCTGGCCGGTTTTGGCCTTTATGTACATAATTAATCTATCTTGATATTCTCCTCTTATGTGCTTTTTAATGACCTCCTACGCTACCTTACTTATTCTTCGATGTATCGCACGATTTAAAGACTTGGCCGGTCGTAAGATGAACGGTAGCCGGCCGCCTTCTGGCCCAGCCGCGGCCGTTATACGGGGAATGAACTTTCGTATAAACCAGGAATGAACGAAGATGGATATGTAAGACTTAGGCTTCCTCCCGGTGAAACATAAAAGACTCGGTCGTTACCGCTTGTCTGAGAAACCTACACGAACTTTTATTCCTGTACACGCCACAATCACCCCCTTACTATTATGTTGACATATTGTTCACACTGTTACAAAGGCACTTCTCAGAAATGAAGCAGCTCTGCTTGGTGATCAGTCAAGAGGGTTTGTGTTCGGGAGAGAATGATAAGGCGTAACGGTCGAGGAGTACTCAACACAAGTAACGGTGCGTGGGATTGTATGCAACGATGGCACAGGAATACAGGTTTATGTAGGTTTGTATTTCAGACAATCGGTAGCGACTGAGTCCTTTATCCAGGAAACTGGGCAGAAGCCTCAGCCTTATATATCTAGCCAACCTTAGTCCCCCTCAGTTCCTCCATCTGATGTCGCCTGAGGTCGTAGGCCCTTCCTCGTTCTACCTCAGTCCAGCCGTCTGATGTTGTCTGGGGTTTGTTCCCTTGGTCGATCTCTCGTGTGGCGCTTCCCCGTCCCTGAGCCACCCTCGTCTCGTCCGGTCCCTGCCGCGGTATTGTTCTTCCGTTCTAAGGCGGGGTTACGCCTACCTCCCCCCAGCCTGATCACCTAACAAAGCCTTCTCTCCCGAGGGACAGTGCTCTTCGTAACAGTCCTCACCTACCCGACTAACCAGCCGTGACATCTTTTAACGTTTAACACAAATCAAAACATACTCGATAGACGCTATAGCTCAATACTGCCACCTCCATTATCCCACCAAGAAAGAACAAGAAAAGTGAAAATGCACAAGCTTTTTAAAAAGGTACGCATTGGGAGCTGAAACTCACTGCTAGATCAATACAACATTGTGCAGTGCGGCGGAGCTGGGCCAAATATTGTGCGAATAAAAAGCCTACGAATCATCCTGGACAGGCATCCAAAAATAACGGCAGAAAGGGCACATCCAACGATAAAAAAGACAAGGACACTAAAAAAACAAGCGCCCGTGTCTTTGTGGCTAGGCCAAGAGAGAGGAGGAGGGGGCGCCGACAGAGGCCAAGAATGAAAATCGCGCAGGGAGGAAAGGGGGCCGTGGGCTAGGAGAAATTAAGGTAGGGGAAAGAGAGAGAAGAAGAAACAAGAAAAAGAAGGGAAAAAAAAGGGAGAAGGAAGAAAGAGAGTCAAGAAGTTCCGGGTACAACAGGGGGACGTCGGAGGACGTCGCAGGTATTTATAACAGCGGCGAAAAAGACACCATGCCAAATCAGGCGGTGCGCTAAACCCAAAAGGGGAAAAGCACATTCTCAATTACAAGAACAACACCCTAACAGACATGAACATAACATAACACAGTATTACACACACTATCTAGCCTTAGAGCACTTTGCAAACCCCATATAATACACACAAAAACTATTCATAACTACATGTATGTTCCTGAGATAATCTAAACATTGTAAAATAAACCTGGAAATCTTTATATATGTAGTCGTATACATAATGATGCTTTCCTTAAACTGTACAACTATTATAGTATCTGGGCTTAACGTGGGGGGGGGGAGGTTAGTTTTTTTTTAGGAGGAACAAGGATACCGACGACGGAGGCGTGGATCTGGGCGAGCCCTATCAACAATATTCACCATTGTCAGAGAAACCAAAAAATCATGACAAAAGGAGACGCCTGGGCCAGACCGAGGATGAGGCGAAGCGCAATTCCAACAACAACCACAGGGAGATGTCGGCATCGTTTACAAAGTACAATGTGCTCAGACGTGACCTTGCCACCTCGTGCGCTCTGAGGAAGGCTTCGTGTTCAAGCCTCCTACAATGCGGGCTCCACATCTCTCCAAGCTCCCGTCGTGGTCGTGATAAGAGGCACAGGAGTACCCTGAGGCCAGACGATCAGCGGCATAGTCGCCGCTGGCCTTGCGTACTGCGGCTTTGTGATTTGCCGCTGCATCTAGGGTGACGACGACGCGTGGACTCACTTTCTCGAGACAATGACAAGCAGATGCCGAACAGCTGTGTGCTCAGTATGTGGAGCCGACTATGGTTCAAGATATAGATATTACTTATTTTACACTTAAAACGCGGAGAATGTTACTTGCTTAAAGAGCGGCAGGGGCAAATGGAGGAAGGGGGAAAGAAGTCGGGATGCGGGTTGCGGCTTGTGGGGGGCTGGAGGGTATGACGGTGCGTCTTTGTCTCGTGACTCCTACATTATTGCATGGGGCGTTTTCTTGTTTACTTTCGCCTATGCCTGTTCCGGTGATGTTCACCATAAATTGCAGCTTTCAGACCGGCCCCTGCCTGGCATGATGGGCCAGATATTACGTCGTGTACATCGAAGTTAGTCAACGGTTAAGACGAGTAAAACACTGGGAAGTACAGTATGGAGCAATGACAAGATACAGAAAACGGTCAAGTCTCTAATCGATGGCATTTATCTCTGCCATTAGCACTAGACGCAGTGAAAGCATAATGCAGACGCCATCATGCTACTCGTGTGGCTCGAGCTCGCTCGTCGCCCTTGGTTCGGGCCCTGTCGACCACGTGATCAGCCTGAGTTGAATCGATTCTCTTGCTTCCTAGTCGTGATCCATGATTTCTTCTTACTCGCCACTTGTCTCTTCGTCATCACACAATCTTCATACTCTTCCCTTAACCATAAGACCAAGTCCATATCCCCACCAGCTTCAAAATTATGAAGGACTTGTTGACCCGCTGGTGGGATCCGTACCTTCACCAAGGAGGGTTTTGTTGACTTCGTCGCTCAAGCCAGGGCTGGCCAAGAAAGGCGGAAAGAATAACTAAGTATTCTATCTAGGTTTCAGACGTGTCATGCTAGGTAAGGCTGTCCGTCCAAGTTTATTTCGTACACGTGCCAAAGTTGGGTTGGCATCCACCCGCGAGACTGCAAGCTCCCGAGGCTGACGTGCCGCATGTGCCCTTGGATGAGCAACAGTCTCTAAAGGAGTTATACAGGCACATGGCATTCACACTTGAGGCGGAGCCACATTTACCGTCCGTTAACGTCGGTTTACAGATACCGTATTTTGACTGGTAGCCTAGTCGTCCTAAACAGAACGCCGGTGTGTCGCCGCAGGTGCCTGACGAGCCACAACACTAACCAAACGTACTATTTAAACAGGTCGCGTCGACCGACGACGCCGCGCCACACTTACCGTCCGTGGTGACACGCGTAAGATAGGTACTAAAGTTGGCCTGGTAGCCCTCGTCCGTGTTACAAAAGGTAACGGACGTGCCGTATAAGCCAGTCGCACCGTAACAGTCGCCAAAGGTGTTATATAGGTAAATGGTATCCACACTTAAGGCGGAACTGTAGTTGCCGTCCTTTAACGTCGGTTTATAGGTACCGTACTTTAACTAATAGTTTAGTCGTCCTAAGTAGAACGTAGGCGTGTTACCGTACGTACTCGAAGAATTATAATAGTCGTCGAAGCCGTTATCGAAATACGTGGTATCGGTAGACGATACCGTACCGTACTTCCCGTCGGTCGATATACGTAAAATATGAGTGTTAAAGTCGACTTAGTAACCTTCGTTTATATTATAAAAGACGGTAAACGTGTCGTAACTACTAGTCGTGTTATAATAATCGTTAAAAACGTTATATAAGTAAATAGTATTAACGTTCGATACGGAGTCGTATTTACCGTCCTTTAACGTCGGTTTATAAGTACCGTACTTTAATTAATAACTTAATCGTTTTAAGTAAAACGTAAACGTATTACCGTACGTATTCGAAGAATTATAATAGTCGTCGAAACCGTTATCGAAATACGTAGTATTAATAAACGATATTACACCGTACTTCCCGTCGGTCGATATACGTAAGATATAAGTACTAAAGTCGGCCTAGTAACCCTCGTCTATATTACAAAAGACGGTAGACGTACCACAACTACTAGTCACGCCATAACAGTCGTTAAAAGCGTTATACAAGTAAATGACATTAACGCTCGATACGGAGCCGTATTTACCGTCCTTTGACGTCGGTTTACAGGTACCGTACTTTGACTGACAGCCCAGTCGTCCTGAGCAGAACGCAGACGTGCTGCCGTACGTGCTCGACGAGCCGTAGTAGTCGCCGAAGCCGTTACCGAGACACGAGGTATCGGTGGACGAAGCCGCGTCACATTTCCTATCGGTCGATATGCGCGAGATGTAGCTGCCAAAGTCGGACTGGCAGCCTTCGTCGATGTTGTAGGTCGTCGCCGTGCTTCCGTATGTACCGGAGGCGCCACAGTAGTCGCCAAACCCGTTGTTTAGATACGTGGTATTCGTCGTAGACGTGGCACCGTACCGGTCATCGGTGGAGACCGAGATGTTGGCGTCGTTGGGGAACTGGTCGTCCCAGCCAAAGACCTGCGTGAGCGAGTTGGGCCCGCCGCAGGTCTCGGAGGCATTGCCGGCGCACGGCAGGCCGCAGGTGGTCGTATCGAGGGACGACGACGTGCTAAACGCAACGCCGTTGCCGCAGATGCAGTCGGTCTGGTTGGTGAGGCCAAAGAAGCCGTAGTCGCCGCCCGACTCTAGGCAGTCCTCGGCGCAGGTGCGGACGGTCATGCTGGGGCTCGAGAACTGGTCGCCTGCCTGCAAGATGACATCGAGGACGGTGCCGCCGTTGGAGGCGTTGCTGCTCACATAGCAGCCAAAGTACTGGTAGTTGTTGACGGTGTATTCGCTGCCGCCGGACTCGAGAACGGG